AAAGTATTTTATGTGACAAGAGAGAGAGAGAGAGAGAGAGAGAGAGAGAGAGAGAGAGAGGAGAGGGGCCAATCTCTGCACACAGGGACAGGACCTCTATTGACTTTCTCTGTAACTTTGGTTCATTTGGCTTGCAAGATGCTGGAATCCCCTTTAAGCACACCCAAAGGGGGTTACCTACCCCATGCCATGCATGCAGGCCTTGCTTCATCTGCAAACCCCTTTGACCTGTACTTGAAACAAACCTGCTGTGTCTTCTTGAATTTTTAAGATAAAAGTGTTGGCGTAATAGAACAAAAAAATGTCTAAACACAAAAGAAGTTTATGAGTTGTCTATGTAACAGTATGGGCAGGTGAATGGTTGTCAGTGGGAACAGGGGTAAGGTCCTGCTCCACACAGTCATTTGGGGAACGACACTGACAGAGACTGCCATCGGTCCCATGTGCGTTCTGTCACCCCAGGGAAAATCTCCATTACAACCTGCTACAAAGACAAGAACACCTGAAAAACAGGCACATCACTTCTGCTCATCTTCCATTGGGTAGAACTTAGTCACGTGGCCACATCTATCTGCAAGGGAGGCTGGGAATGTCATCTATTGGTGTGCTCCAGAAGAAGAGAGGAACACAGATTTTGGTAAACACCTATTAATGGAAAACACCTTGAATTTTTTTAAAAAGAGTGTTCATGCAACAATAGCAGACCTACGACCGCAAGGGCAAGAACACAGTAGATCTGAATTCAAACCCTGGCACTCCTCCTGCCCACAATCCTCTCTGAGGCTTAGGTTCTTCATCCCCCAAACAGAGATAAATACCTATGTAGGATTAACTGAGCTCATGAGTGTAAAACACCTATCACAGTGCCTGGCACATACAATAGTAAGCATTCAACAAATGTAGTGATGCTGGTGGCAATTTGCAGGTAGTGACTATTCATGGGTAAGAGACGATCGTTTTGCAATATGGGAAAAAAGTAAGTGCCGGGCTCTAACCTGTGATGGAGGAATTAGTCACCAGTTCAGTTCACGCTTTTCTTCCCCCACTCCTCCACCTCAGCACTTGTTCCCATGGGCCCCACTCCACCTGCGTGGGAATGCTTAGCGTTTGCTCATGGACCAAACATCCCATCCCTACCAGAGAGGGCTCCTGTTCAGCCTTTAACTGCAGCCCAGGCAAACCACTGGGATCATTCTGCCTGTCACAGCACAGAGAAGTCCAACCATCATATGCTGATGGCATTGCACCCACCACTGGGTGCACAAATGCACACTGGCTGGAAGGAAGGCTGATTGCCCAGCAAGTCCATTTGTTCTTTGCTTTAGAGTGATCCATCATTTACTCAGATTTCAGTGAAATGGCCTGAAACGGGGAAGGAAAAAAGAGCCCAGAGCTGGGGCACCACCGATTAGAGGCGAGTCTCAGCAGTGGAACCGAGCAGGCAGTCACGTCAGGAGCAGCAAAGCCCTCGGGCTCTGGGTTTCTCAGCCAGGAGATGAGGGGATGCAGCAAGATTGAGACTCAGTAGGGATCTGCTGCTCTGGCTTCTGCTGAACTTCAGATGCAGTCACTTGCCAAGGCACTTTTTCAGTTCAAGGTCATTCCTGGAGTCCCACCCTCAACTTCTGGAGCACCAGCCCCTCCAGTTCATTTCAGGCAGCTCTCCTTCAGCAACTACCAACACATGCGTATCAAAAACCTTTCACCCATTAAGCAATTGTACCATCAGTAACCTATCCTAAGGAAGTAATCCTGAATATAGACATTGCCTTATGCACAAAGATGCCCACCAGCAATGCTATAATAACAAAACAGTGGAAGCATCCTCTACAATTGGTTGGAATTCTATTGCCAGGCCAACAGCAAGGAATGTATTAAGAGTATGGAACACCAAAATGTTAAAGTACATGTTTACCATAAATTTATGATAAAGGAAGTTCTGTAGACTATTCTGTTAAGTGAGAGGAGTAAGGAACAACGGCAGTATGAATACAGCTCTGTAAGAAATAAACAGAACTAAGATTATGTAAGATATTGTCATTACTGGGTGAAAGGTGCACAGAAAATCGCCATCATTTTTGCAACTTCTTGTAAGGTTATCTTAAAATAAAAATTATTTTTTTAAATATCAGAAGCAATTGTGCATGAAGAGATAGCATAAAATAATGGCTTTAACAAAGATAAGCATAGGGGATCAGTTATGCAAGGGATTTTAAATCCAATCCACTCGCCACTGAATCTCTGCTTTGCCTCCCTGTTTCATCTGAGAATTCTTTCCCGATTCCCAAAGGCATCGAAGAATTCTGTCATCCATGTTCCCCTATGTGCCTTGGGCAGCCATTAAAAATCCTGACCATACAGAATCATTAAGAGCACTATTTTGCTCACCTCTCTCATAAGACTTCTAGTTTCTTGAGAACTGTGCCATGTTCACTCCTCCCCTAGAGTATGGTATGTGTCTAAAATAGTGCCTTAATATTTGTTGAATTATTGAATGAATGAATGAGCAAGTAAATGCTGTGCTCGGGTTTCACTGAAAGAGGTCCAAATATTTCCAAAATAGCTTCTTCCCCAGACCAACTACAAGGTCTCCTGATCAACAGCCACTTCCATTGAAGTTGAATAGGACAGAGTGACCAGGAGAAGTGGAAAAAAAAAGTAGCCAGAGCCAGTTTCTCACAGCTTAAATCAGGGCTCTCAAACTGTCAGTCCACACACTATACAGCCCACAGAAGTGGTTTGTTTGGCCAGAAAGTGTTTTTAAAAACTAGGGCATTTCACAAGAACTACTTTCTCCTGAACTATCAGAGAATCAGGTGACCCTGGACATGCATTCCCACCTGGCTACAATGGCTGGAGCTGTTGCCCCCCCTCTGAGGAAGCACAGTGTGCTCTTCAGTCTGTCATAGTCCCCGCCAGTCCCTATTGTCTGCACCCAGCTCCCCTCTCCCAGTAATGCTTCCTGCCTGACCGCTGTGGGCATTTAAGTTTGCAACCAGTGGTTTAAACAACCTGTTTGGCTTAAGGAGTTAAAATGCCTATGTGTGCTCATTTTTTGCACCAAAGAATTAAAGGATTTCTTCAGTTCCATTTCCCTCCAAGGTAGGGAAGTTTAATAAAATTCTGCTGATGCTACATGGATTTAGCTCCAGGATGCTAGGGGCCAGGGCAGAGGAGTAGCTAGGTGTGACACAAGTAGACTGTCTGGAAGTGTGACCCTCCGCCCCACCAGGCTGAGATAAGCTCATCAGTGAGACTGTTTCCACAAGGTGAGGAAAGACCTGAACACACACGAAGTCAAGACATTCGAGCCGGAATTCCTGAGCAGGTCTGCAGGACAAGCAGCTGTCTCATGAAGCTTTAGCTCCACTCACTGGCTGGCTATAAATTAAGTTCTAAGAAGTCCGCAAAACTACCTAAGCTTTCAGGCACCGGATGAAAGAGGAAGAGGAACTTAGGCCCATGCTTTAGCAGAGCCCCTGGAAAGGAGTCAGGACCTGTGTTAAGAAAATTGGCCAGGAAGGGGGTTAAATGCCACTCCCAAAGCTCATCCCCAGTGGTCCGTTTCTCACTTCGTCTGAAGTTGGAATCCTTGACTATTGTGTATATTTTTCAAATGATTCGGGATTCAAAAGGAGGGATCCGATTAACTGACCACTAAAATCCCACACCAAATGTTCCCCGTATATCTCCAAAGGGTCCTTGTAAGGATCCGAAAAGATAATGGATGAAATAGTCCTTGCTTCTCCATCACTTCTCCGTAGAAGAAGGTGGATTTCTTAGCACTAATCAACCAGGGTCCCAGGCAAAATGAACACTACTTATTCCAGGGATTCTCTTAGAAAGGCAACCTCATGTTTCATTTATGAGTTACAGTAATTACTTAATTAGCATGGCACTTTTACCGCCCTGGTTCCGCTGCTGTATGCTGAGCCTCAGAATTCTAATGGGAATTTCTCCTCCAGTCAGGTTCACGCCTGGCCTTTCAAGAAAATGCTCAAACTGGCTTTTTCATTCACTCAGTTTTTTACTAAAGGGAGGAGAAAAGCAGAGCCGAAGTGAAACTTGATTGAAAAGCACAGGGGGGAAAGAAGAGTTGCCTAATGGCTAGAGACTGAATCATTGCTCTGTCTACACGAACTATCATGGTTAGTTCAAGCTGCTAGAATAGAATACCATAGGCTAGGTGACTTATAAACAGCTGAACTGTGTTTCTTATAGTTCTGGAGGCTGGGAAGATGGTTCATAGTTGGCTAGCTGCACTTGCATCTTCACAGGGCACAAAATAACAAGGGAGCAATCATGGCTTAATCACCTCCCAGAGGCCCCCACTTCTTAATACCATCACATTGGGGTTAGGATTTCAACATATCAATCTTGGGGGGGGTGGGGGGAACATTCAGTCCATAACATGGACTGTGATTGGGCAGTTGATTTAATTTTGCTGAACCTCTGTTTTCCAGCCCATAAAATGGGGATAACAGTAGAATCTCTCTTCTCTAGTGGTGTGAGGATCAATGAGATGCTGTGTGTCCAGCACCTAGAACACACGGTCCATTCAATTAATTTAGAAGCTGTTTGAATTTTTGATTAGCAGCTAAGAGCTGGACAATATACTTGTCCTCTCCGAGCTTCAGCTTCCTCCTTGGAAAACAGAAATAATAAAATATATCCACAGAAGGGTTGTCATGAGAACTGGAAAGAGACTAGCATCATATCCTAGCACTTAGAAGGTACTCCATAAATATAGCTCTTAAAGTGATCATAAAACGTTGAGGAAATTAAATATAGATCTTCATCAGGATGAGCTCTGTTCATTGTATGCAGGTATGCATAACCCATGGACTTAGACAATAGGGTGGTGAAGACCTGGGGTGGAAGGTGGGGGCAGGCTAGAAGAGGTCGATCGAAGAGAAAGGGAGATATATGTAATACTTTCAACAGTAATTTTTAAGAATTGAAAAATAAAAGTCTCTGTTCAGCTCTTTCTCTTCAATGAGGAGCAGCATCCCCAGCAGACACAGAATGGCAGCTCTTTGTGAAGACCCTGACTGGCAAGATCATCGCCCTGGAGGTGGAGCCCAGTGACCCCACTGACCATGCCAAAGCTAAACTCCAAGACAGGGAGGGCCTCCCGCCTGACCAGCAGTGTCTGGTTTTTGTGGGCAAGCAGCTGGAGGATGGACGCACATTCAGACTACAATATTCAGAAAGAATTCGCCCTTGGCACTTGGCACTTCCTCTGCGGAGGCATCGTGAGCCCTCCCTCCGCCAGTTCGCCCAGAAGTACGACTGCGACAAGATGATCTGTGCAGGTGTCCCGCCCACCTGGGCCCCTGTGCTGTCAACTGCCACAAAGCGCAGCCACACCAACAATCTGTGCTTCTAGAACAGGGTTAAATAAGGCCCCTCCACCACCTCCTCCTCCAGCCTGCAGGGCGGCCCTCTACCTGAACCCCTGGAGATAAATAAATAAAAATACATACATATATACATACATACATACATACATACATAAATAAATAAATAAATAAATGCCTCTGTTCAGCAATCAGCTTTTCAAGAGAAGCAACTGTGTCTCTCTCCATCTCTGCACTCCCCATGCCTGATGCCTGCAACACAGTAGGCACTCCGAATAACACCGAGTTTCAGTGAACTGGGTGAACTCCCTAGTCCCTCCCTCAGCCTTGACTATACAGGTCAGCTATTGTAAATTTCCAGGCAGCAAAGAAAACATTCTGTAAGATATTGTTTCTAAACTCCTGTGTAGCCTTCCTCTGAATGTGGTTAAAAATAATGTAATTTCTTCTTGGAGTATATGGGCAAGAAAAGGCCTCAGACCTTTCATCAATTCCACAGAATTCCCTCTGCCCAGGTTCCCTTCTCTAGCCTACCTTTAATCCCCCATCTGCTCCTCCTTTCATACCTCAACCTGAATAAATTCTTTCCTGGTTACTCCATGAGCCCACGCATGCTCACTGACCTCAGGACTCACAGAACCAAGGCATCACAGAAGCAAGGTAAAGTCTTATGAGTATTTTACCTGTCCTCTAGATAAGGCCCTCTGCAAACACTCCTGCTAAGTATTCATTCAGATCGCTCCTTAAACACCTTGGATGACAAGAAACTCATCCCCATCCCACCCCCACTCGCCTTTGGTCCAACTCACCTTTGGTCAACTCTGTTAGAAACTTACACTTAGTCCAAACCTTTCTCGCCATAGCTTCTACCAGTTCCTTGGCTGTGGCTTTGCCTTTTGCAGGCTCACAGTATGGGATGACTCTGCCTTCAATATTACAAACTTTGAATTTAGCTTAGGGTGCACGTATATTCTATCCTCACAACCAGATTAAAAGTTTCTAGCAGGCAGTCACCATGTTTTATGTTCTTTGTGCCCAATAGGCGCTTTAATAAATAAATGTTGGGAACACTTCCTTGCTATGTTGCCTAATTGCTCTTGGTCAGACTCATTCCAGTGGAGCCACCATAAACAATTTTTTTCTCCTTAAGTGTTTAACAGTAGCATCTTGTAATGCTAAGTAAATGGAAAGAGAAAAGGAAGGAGGAAAGAACATTTTTTAAAATTCCATCTTCAGGTGCACTGGAGGCAATTTTCTTTTGCAGGCACATTATTTGCAACCCTAACAGTCACATATCAAAGTCAGGAACAATCTAAGTGCTGTCCATTTTCCTCCCAGTATGCTTGGGAGCCCACGTTATGTCCTGATGAACTATGGGTAAATGGAAAGAAGTAGAATTCCCAATTGCTGTTTGCTTGGATTATTTTGAAAGTGGTCAGAGGGCTTTGCACTTTGCTGAGCGCTTTATACAATACATACAAATTTCAACTGAATATTTAAATGTTTCATCAAGTGTATGACAGCTGACTGGGGTTTTTTTTAAAAAACAAAGGAAGATAAAGGGCCCTCCCATTTTCTGTAGAAGATTGAGGAAGGAATTGTTTGACTAATTTAATACAGTCTATAGCCAAGAAACTCCAATCTGTTCAAATTTAGAAAATATTCTGATTTTTTAATATAAGAATGCTCAGCATTTTGTTTATTTTGTATGGGGCTAGGGAAGTGATGTGATTAGAGACTATGTGTGTTCATTAAACTTATGCAAAGCATGGGCATCTGACCATATCAGTTTGCAAGAGAATATTAAAATGGCACTTTTCCTATTGCCTCAGTTTGGACTAAAGCCTAAGGGTTAAGAATAATATATACCCATACAATAGAGCAAGGTGCTAGGTTTACAAGCAGACAGTCCAAATTCAGCCTTGTAAATCTCAGCCCCATAAGCTGGATCAGCCAATCATGGATTGATTAGGAACCTTTTGATGGATCCCTGGGAATTCCCAAGTACAGCGGAGCTTCAGAAGAAACATTTGGAGAGTTTGGCAGTAGCCTCTGAAATTTGGGATAACACAGCATGGAGTAAAGCACGCCTTAAAAAATGTAAAAACAAAAATTTGGTCAGCCTAATGGCAGAGCAAAGAGTATTTGAGGCTGTTGCAGAAATACCTGCACTTTTGAGGGAAGGAAGAGGCATGGAGGCCGGGAGGCGGGGAACCTGATCCACCCTGATCACTGGCCAGACCTAGGGACCCTACCCATGCACGAATTTCGTGCACCGGGACTCTAGTTTATAATAATTACGATGATGATGATGATATTGTGATAATGAGGAAGGTAAGTAAGAAGCAAGAAAAATTCCATGACTAGTGGAATAGGAAAACTGGGACAAATAGATAAGCAAATGGTCTAGCAATTAGCAGGCAGCTAATAAATCACAAGATCTTATCTTCCCTAACCAAAGGCATTTGGGAGCAGTGGATTTACATCTCTGCTCCCCAACCAGAGAGTAAGGTGCTAAATCACCCTTGGGGACAGCTTGTATATGTTCCACGTGACACTTGCTATGGCTGGAATTTACAAGGGGATTTTTTCACTCACTCCTGGCAATTCAGTGAGGATGGCTGGAACAGCAGAGAAATTGGAATAAACACTCTCTCACTTCATCTTCTCTGTCTCCTTCTTCTTTCACATTCTCCATCTCTATCTCCTCCCCCTTCCTTCACATTCTCCAGCTCTATCACTATCTCCACCTCCTCCTCCTCCCTTCCTTCTCCTCCAGCCTCTCCTTCTACTTCTCCTTCTGCTTCTGCTTCTGCTGCTGCTTCTCCTTCTCCAGCCCCTTCTCCTTCCCTCTGCTTCTTATACTTACTCTTCTGCTATGCTGCCTGCTTCTGCTTCTCATTCTTCTGCTTCTTATAATTTTTCTTTCTCTTTCTACCCTTCTTCTCCTCCTTCTTCTCCTCCTCCTCCTCCTCCTTCTTCTGCTGCTGCTTCGGCTTCTCCTCCTTCTGCTTCTTTATCTTCTTTAGCTTTTGCTTCTCCTTCTCTTTCTCCCTCCCTTTCTTCTTTTTCTCTTTCTCCTTGTGCTTCTTCTCCTTCTATACAGAGGACATACAGACAGCCAACAGTCATATGAAAAAAATGCTCAGTGTCACTAACCATCAGAGAGATGCAAATTAAAACTACAATGAGGTATCACCTCACACCTGCCAGAATGGCTACCATCAATAAATCAACAAACAAGTGCTGGTGATAATGTGGAGAAAAGGGAACCCTAGTGTACTGTTGTGGGAATGCAGACTGGTGCTGCAACTATGGAAAACAGTGTGGAATTTCCTCAAATAATTAAAAATGATACTTCCATTTGACCCTATGATCCCACTTCCAGGGATATATCCTAAAAACTCCAAAACATCTATCAGAAAGAATATATCCACCCCTATGTTCATAGCAGCATTATTTACAATAGCTAAGATCTCGCTCGAAACAGTGCAAGTGGCCATCAGTAGATGAGTGGATAAAGAGCTGTGGTACATTTATACAATGAAATACTATGCAGCTACATAAAAAAAAAGGATCTCTTACCCTTTGAGACAACATGGACGTACCTGGAGAATATTATGCTAAGTGAAATAAGCCAGTCAGAGAAAGACAAATATCACAAGATCGAATTTATCTGTGGAATCTGATAAACAAAACAGGTCCAGAGACATAGAAGCATAGAACAGACTGATGAATTTCAGAGGGAAGGTGAGGGAGGGTGAGTGGGTGGGGAGAGATTATCCATATTATATGAATATATGCATAGCCCATGGACACAGTGTGGAGAAGGCCTGGGAAGGATGGGTGCAGAATGGAGGAGTTCAATCAGGGGAGGGGGGGGAGGGAAGACATCTGTAATACTTTCAACAATAAAGATAAATTTTTGAAAAGATATATTTGGACAAGTTCAGAAAGTTTCTCAAGAACATAGAACCACACAAGGCAATAAGAGCTTTGAATCAATCTTGCAGTCGATAAATGTGTTTTCTCAATTGCCAAATCTATTTGTCACTCTGTGACAGGTATTGTGCTGACGGCTTTACATATATTATTTCATTTAATACTCTTTGGGCATGTGACATATTCACGTGATATAGATGGGAAATTTGAAACACAAGGGAGTTAGCAAATTGCAGCATACACTGTTGATTTTCTCTTCTTCTTTTCTAACAGAGCACCAATGTTTCTCAGGTTCTTCCATGTGATCCTCATCTCAAGCTCCCAGAGTAGATCCCAGAGTAGATCTTCTTTAGCCTAAATTAATCTTAATAATCTTGTTCCCTTCATGACAGATTTACAAATAAGCTGGCCAGTGAAAAGTGAGGAAAAGTTCGCTGTGGAGCTTATGGGATAGGTTTTATCATTCCTACGGAAGAGACAAAGAAATAAATCAGCCTCCCTTCTGAAGACTTTCATTCCTGAATGTGGTACCTAGAATTGCTGCCACCATCTTTCTAACCACTGCCTAAGGAGAGCAGAACCAAGAGGATCACAGAGAGGTGGAACCAGAGCCCTAATACACTAGGCTTGCAGCCTACCTGGCCCCAGTATTTCCTAAAGTGTGAGACAATAATTAGTCTTATCTTTAAATCCAATCTAAGTTGGATTTTCTACTAAGTGCATTTGACAAAAACAAGTAATAGTCCTAGGGTTTGAACACTGATCTGTCTGTCTCTAAGGCTGGAGCTCTTAACCTTGACACTCTATTTCTTGTGAGTGCTGAATGCCTCTATGATGTCTGAAGTATAGGCATGGCATTTCCTCACACCCCTACCAACACACACCCTATACACATATACACAACTCTGAGTCAGTGAAATGTAGCTTTTGACACCCCCTCACCAGCCCCCAACAACCAGCGCTGATATTTCCAACTACTAGAGTTCATCCAGAAACTAGTCTTTTGATGGAAACAGAAATGTATTGAGCATCTGATAACCAGGCCCAGGTCAAGGCACAACCCTCATCTCCACTCTCTTAGTCACTG